GAACAAAAATTGTTCAAATGTTTTCGCCGCCATATTTGAAAAGAGATATGACGCACAAGGTGTGTAGACCACATATGTTTCGAAAAATTGTTAAAGCAGTATGTTTTCAGATTTGTGTAGATCAAAAACAAATATTAAATACTTGTTTTTGATGCTATTCGTGTGTTTCCATATTTTTCGGCCATTATTCCAACAGTACCAAAAGTGACGCTCGATATGCAAATTACCCCCTAAAGACTACAGAGAGGCATTTATTTCATTGATTTACTGATAACTGTTATACTGATAACTTCTTTGGCCTTATTTGGAGATGCAGCATATCATCATGTTATTGACGAGCTTCGTTGTGATGGCAATTTTAACCGCGCGGGTAAGTCCGGAAGACATAAAAACTTGCTATTATTTGAGATACGTAAATTATTATTTGAAAACGATCAGTTACGCGTTAAAAGATGAGTTCGTCACCGTTGTCGGCCAAGATTTTACCCATGAAGATTGCAAAGCTTGGGGAAACCGTTTACAAACTCAAGGAGAAATCGTCTTGGCGATGCTTAAAGATTTGCAGGACAATAGTTCAGCCGGTCAGCCGCAAGCTTTGATGTCGGTCAATTTATATTTGAACAACGTCACCGCGACGGTAATGGTAAAACCAATAGCAGAACGGCTTAAATATTTGGGAATTCGCAGTGATATATACGCATGCAGATGGTCGATCAACTCTATGTTGATTAAATTGTCAGAGTATATATCCCAAAGCATTTCGATGAATTGTCCTAAGAGTGTGCCGACCGACGATAAACAGAGGATTGAACGTGACTCAAAATCGCTGGGTTCGGGCTTCGATGTACTCAACGATTTGTTACCGAAAAAGTGGCCGATAAACGAGAATGGAAAAAAAAATACACACGAACATTTGAAATTAGCCACGGAGCAATTACACGGTAGTGCGTTGCTGATCAAAAACATTATGGCGGTAAAATCAAAATCCGAAAACCATTCAGAATCATATTTACATTTGTATCCTAGAAACGCGTTGTTCTACGACCTCTTGGACGGCGGCGACCGAAAAAAACCTACTACATCCGCTAGTGATGTGGATGATTTAGACTTACTTCGAAACGTTCAACTAACCACACCTCTCCCAGGCAATAGAAACCCGACCGTGAAATCATTATTAGAGAAAGCACAAATTGTCATCGATACGAAATGCTTGGAGTCGTTTCAACGACAAGTTTTGACCGCCACGGCTCATCCTGTGGTGACCGTTACTGCGTCGTACGTTTCCCTATTCAAATACATCTATCACAGCGGAGAGAAGAATATATTTAAAAACTTAGACGACGATGGCATTGACCGCTGTAAGGGCGCCGTTGCTAAGTTAGGCGATAAGGCGGTCGAGTTGCTTAAAGATTTCATCGAGTTAGACATTTATCCGGAAAGCGTGAGACAACATTTCGAAAACACCTACGGAAAACTGAAACTTCTTGTTGGATATCCCGAAAAAAATAGTAAAACACTCGAATGGATTGGTGAGATATTTGGACGGTGCTCGGGTCCTATGATTTTGCATAATCTAAAATTCATTCAGTTGGACGAATTTGGAGATATGATAGCCAAAGCAGATGCGGTTCTAGATAGTAAAATAAACCAATTGTTCGATTATGCATCCACTGTCGGAAATTATATAAAAACATTAGCAACACAAAAGGTCAAACGTTATTTTGATGTGACAAAAAAGAAGAATACGCTCTTTTCATATGAAAATATGTTTCAAGAAGATCTTGCGTGTGACATTACTAAAAGACCTGTTACCCTTGTACTGTAATATATAGATCTGTATTAATGAATTTGTAATAAAATTACTCTTCATATTATTGTCTTTTTATTTAAATCGAAAAAATTTAATGTATTCTTAACTTCTTTAAGTAAATATCTCTTATTATTATATTGTTTCTGGAATAAAACAATATGCAACTATCAATAAATCAAGTTTGTTTAATGTTTAAGGTTTTGAAAACGGTTATATTCTGTCAATTATTTATTGTACAAACACATACAGTAAATTGTTTGAAAACACTGTACACATTATATTATTTTATTATAATATCTTGTGTACAAGCATAGTTGAAAAACAAATAGTGTATACTTGTTTTTGGTGCGGTTCGTGTTATTCCTTATTTTTCTGCCATTATTCCAATAGTACCAAAAGTGACGCTCGATACATAAGCCACAACCCACACCCGAAAGACTACAGCAAACCATATATTTCACTGATTTGTTATACTTGTAACTTCTTTAGCCTCATTCGGAGATGCAGAATATTGTCATGTTATTGTCGAGTTTCGTTGTGTTGGCAATTTTAACCGCGCGGGTAAGTCCGGAAGACTTGAAAGCTTGCTATTATTCGACATACGTTAATTGGTATTTGAAAATGATCAATTACACGGTAACGAATGACTTCGTCTACGTGGACGATCGAGAGTTTACACACAAAGACTGCAAAGCTTACGAAAACGACTTACAAACTCAAGGGAAAATTGTCATGGCGATGCTTAAAGATTTGCATGCCAATAATCCAGCCAGTCGGCCCCAAGATTTGATGGCGGTCAATTTATATTTGAACAACGTTTCCGGATCGTTAACGATAAAACCGATCGAAGAGCGGTGTAGAAGTAAAGGAGTTACCAATGAAACAGAAGTGTGCAAAAATACGATCAGCAGCATATTGACCAAATTAATCGAGTATTTAACCGAAAGCATGTCGACCAATTGTCCTCAAAGTGTGCCCGCCCACGATAAGCAGAGGATTGAATGTGACTCGAAGTCGCTGAGTTCGGACTTCGACAAACTCAACAGTTTGTTCACGAAAAGGTTACCTATAAAATTGACTGGTTTAAAATTTAATCGCCAAGATATGAAAAAAGCAACGGACCAACTACACGATAGTGCGTTGCTGATGAAATACATTATGGAGGAAAAAGAAAAAACCATAAGCCGACAAGAGTCTTATTTGCATTTGGATCCTAGAAACGCGTTGTTCTGCGACCTCTTTGGCGTGGACGACTTAGACTTACTCCATAGCGTTCAAGTAACCACATCTCTGCCAGGCGACACCAGTCTCACCATGAAATTATTATTCGAGATGGCGCAATTTTTATTCGATACGAATTGCTTGAAATCTTTCCAACGGCAAGTTTTGGCAGCCTCCGTTCATCCCGTGATGACCGTTATTGCTTCGTACGTTTCCCTGTTCAAGTACATGTACCACAGTGCAGAGAAGAATGTATTTAAGAACTTAGACGCCGTCGGTGTTGACCGCTGTAAAGAAGCAGTGGATAGTTTAGGCGATAAGGCGGTTGAGTTGCTCGGCGATTTTATCGAATTAGACTTCTATCCTGAAAAAGTAAAGGAACATTTGGAAATCACCTACCAAGAGTTGAAACTTTTTGTCGAATGTCCCGAAAAGAAAACCGTAACACTCAAATGGATTGGTCAGATATTCAGACGGTGCTCGGGTCCTATGATTTTGCATAAGCTAAAGTTCATCGAGTTGGACCAGCTTGGAGATCAGATAGCCAAAGCAGATGCGAATCTTGATGGTAAAATAAACCAATTGGTAGATCACGCGTTCACCGTCGGAAATTATATAAAAAAAATAGCAACAGAAAAGGTCAAACGTTATTATGATGTAACAAAGGCGAATACGCTCTTTTCGTATGAAACCATGTTTTGGGAAGATCTTGCATGTGACATTTCAGAAAGAGCTGTTACCATTTACACTAATAACAATACTGCAGTTGTTAGGACGAAAAAATCTACCATTTAAACTTAACATTGTTTATTTTATTTAAATTGAACAAATTATAATGTATTCCGAACTTCTTTAAGTAAATGTCTTTTATTAGTATTGTTTCTAAACTGGAATAAAACAAAATACAATAATTATCGATAAATCAAGTTGTCTGTAATTATTTTTCCTATTAAAATTATTGTACGTTTAAGGAATCAACACATAAAAACTTAAAATGTATGTATGTCATCAGGTCACTGGATCGCCCTTATTTTTTTTTAACTTTGAGCTTAAGTAGTAAGTGAGTACTAGCGAAGCTCTGAGTTGAAAAGAAAACCAGTCATTTCCATGTATCTAAATAAGAAAAATTACAGTTTTCAAAAAATCGTATTTGTTTCAGATTTTTTTTGGATTTAATTATTTATCATATTTTTTTTAAACCATTATTATTTATATTTATTTTTAAGTACACTCAGTGAAACTATTTGAATAATCCATTCGGACGGCGTTGCATATGGTTTTACTCATATACCGTTTACATATTTACATGAGACCTGTTGTATTTTATTTTTTTGCCTTACTAGTTGAAATAATAAAATATCGTATACAACTACTATGATAATACTATAGTTTATTCTTGAAAAATATAAAATACTCCTAGCGTGAATTCCAAACATGGTATCTGGATTTGTTTGTTTTTTTTTACACAACTTTAGTATTGGCTGGCTGTACTAGTTGGTGTCGGCCACAAGTACACAAGTACCACTTGTGTTCTAGTTTACTAGAACATGTATGTGGTATACTCTATTTTCTCAAAACAGGTGTACACCGAAATGTCATAACGACGTACTTACACCACGCTTTGTCATTGTCCGGTATATTTTGATATCTTCAGACATTTTTTGTAAAGATGACTGACGTTTTGGGTTGTCCTTCTACATAATAATATCAAACATCATTATACACCATTCTCCGTATATTATAAACTATATTTTGATGTGTACACAATAATACCCGTAGTTGAATTCTTTGCATTACTCGAGTTTGATAGTATTTGTAATTAATACCTATTCGAGAGCCAATAAAATGTCGACTTATCAGTTTAGTATAAGTCTTAGCTAGTCACTTTTGGTCGACTTGGCCCTTCAAGTTAAGAGTCCCTTCTGGTGTAACTTTTTGTATTGATCTGTAATTTTAAAAACTTTTCCAGGGCCGATCTTTAGAACACAAGCACACGGCCATTACAGTTACAGCAGCTAAGCGCCGTCTAAAGATGGACTCTGCAAACCATCGGAATGGTCAGCCAAAAACCGAACACGCAGGTAAATATAATATCAGCTGTAAATATATTACACCCCCACTATGGTGACTAATATTAAGAATTTTAATAAAATAAATGAGACTGGCAGGAAGCTCCAGCATTATAGTTTCCTTCATATTAGGTTTTGCTCAAATTTGCTGGTCGATAACCGTTTTGGACAAACAGTTTCTACAGTTCTATTTTATACGGTTTGACCAAGCTGATATAACGTTAATTATTATTCGTTATTTATTTAGGTTTTAGGGCTTCGGTAAATAACAAAAAAATATATATATATGACCTGCCTGTAAAATGGCGTAATTAAAAAAATATATGTAATCCTACGCATAAGACTTATAGTAATTATATGCGTGACACGTTTTTCCTCCTTTAGGGTGGTTATTGTTTCAATAGAAGTAGTATTTTTTTTTAAACCGTACACCAGTGATATTCTTTAAAAAATATGAAAACAACTCTTTGTGAAGGAGTACTTGGCATTTTTGAAGTGCTCTCATCGCAGCCGGCTCGTGGCGCTGTTTCGCCGGACAAGCATTGTGCGAATGAATCTTTCAACAGATGTTAGCTCGGTTTGCTTTTCTACCTCTCTCTTAAAAAGACACAGTCACTACGGGAAGCTGGTTAATTTTTAAAAAAGTTCCTCTTAAACAACCCACGGCTATGTATATGTATTGTGTGTAAAAAGCCTAGAGTGTTCGTTACACCGAGCTGGTCGCAATCACGTTTTTGGATAATATCAGCACAAGTACGGGCCGATTCCGGTCAGGTTAGGTATATTAATATTTTGAAATTGAGTTTTTTTGCTATACTTTTAGGTATAATATGTTTTACTATATTTTCCAACACTTGTAACAAGTATGGACAAGTATTGGACACAAGATCAATATTCGTTCGGTATTGACAACAGTTGCATGTATTAACCACAAATATTGACCCCATCCGTAATGCTATCACCGTCTCTGTGTTTAAATGGGTAGATGTGGTACGCTTGTCCATTATTATCACAAAACATTTCATTGTGTCTGGTCGGTGTGGTGTGATAATATATGAACATAAATATGAATTTCAAGGGCTACTGGAAAACGAGCGTCTTAGTGATCAGATGGATCGCCCTGTATATGTAGTGCAAGACCGTCAATCGCATGGTAATGTTGTGAACCTATTATTAAGTTCATACAAGACGGTTATAATAACACATAATATGTTATTCCGACGGAAGTTCAAGTTGCACACCGAACTTATATTTACTTTCTTCGTCGACGGTCAACCGTGAAGCTACCGATATTAACTGTTTGAACAGAGTAAACACAACGACGTTGCCATAGAAACTTTGCAATGCCCTCGGTGAATGGAGTATACAGGGTGATCGATTTGATGCTGCATATTTTTTAGGTCCAAAAACCAACAGTCAACACCGTGTTTATCAATACATTTTTTCCCACTGAAAAATTATCCACTTTGCGGTGCAGCAATCGAGTAAAATCACTCACACACACACCACACATTGTAAACAAAAAATTGTTCAAAAAGAAAATCTATCATCTTTCAAAGAAAATTGGTGTTTCGCGCTTAAAATTGTGGTCACCCTGTATTTTTTTTCTTAGAAAATCAAATTCGCTGTTCTGGTAGAACATTATTACTTGCCACACATATTTTGCTGGCTTTCATTTTGCTTTCGTTTGTCGCCTCAAGTCAAAATACTAAACCTAATCTATTTTTTTTTCTCTTTACCGCAGACTTCTCGCTCGCTGGATATTAGTATTAACGTTTCCAATAAAATATATATATTACCAGTACTCGAGAATTTGTTTTCACCCACCTTATATATGTATTCAAGTATTTTTTTTATATATATATATTAGCATATGCTTTCGATTTATATATTTTGTACATCCCAAGTAATTCGAGCTATCCAGCAGCTAATCAACACACGAATGATGGTTGTCTATCCGTCACCAGTAAGCCAAAACGAGCATAACACTTTTTTTCTCAATTTTTCATAACCGTGAATTATTGTTATTTTCTACCCGAGACGTCTCGGTCTCTATCGTCGGACCGACGTTGCGCTTAACCGGTGGATTATGTTTCAACTACCTACTTGTTAAAGTATAAAGTATAAAGTCAAAAAAAAATCTGAATTTTCATCGTTAATTACATGCTTAAAAAATGAGCTAAAATGGTAATTTTAACCATCGCATTTATAATAAATCAAGTCATATACTTTGTTTAAATTTGTTAAGAAATCTCCACTAAGATTTTAGTTTAAGAAAAACTGTAAATCTTCTCATGCCTTTGATTTGTTACTGACGTTTTGAGTTCATTGCAGTCTTCAGAGCCGTCCCACTGCCGGTGACTATGCTCACAGGTTTACTCACTTACTGAATTTAATAACTAGTGTTATAAGTTTGTTTACTCGTTTTATTTACTCATTTGTTCGATTTCATTCAGTCGTGTGCTGTAATTTTTTATTTATATCGATATATTTACTCGTTTACTCGATTTGTTGACTAGTCTGATTTACTCGTATACTCGATTTGACATCTCGTTTACCCAATTTCATTACTCGTTTTATTTACTCATTCAGTGAAATCATCCAGTTCTTATGTTGGACCGTGTTTTATAGATTTATTTACTCAAAATGCCCCCGATGGCTCAGCGGGTTTACTCACTTGTTTATTTACTAATTAATATTTTATTTTACTCGTTTTATTTACTCATTTAATCAAACTGCAAAATCGTTTGATCATTTTTTTCGTTCGTTCATATGGCCTAATTACTCATTTACACGAACTATCAACTTATTTACTTGATTCATTTACTTATTTACTTAATTTCATTCAGTCGTGAGTTGTATTATATTTCTCGATTTGTCAAAAAGATTAACTTACTCGTTCACTACATTTGTCAACTAGCTTGCACGATTTTTTTACTCGTTCTATTTACTCGACGCCACTCGGCCGCCTACTGAATTGTATTAATTTACTCGATTTATCTGCTCATTTACTATTATATTCGTTTTATTTACTCGTGTAGGTATTCGATTACCTTTAGTTGAGTGATTTTTTATTTATTGACTCGATCCATTTATTTATTTACTTGATTTCTATACCCATTTACTTTTACTCATTCATTATTTTATTTTATTTACTCAATTCATTCAGTCATGTGGTGTACTGTATTCCTTGATATATTTCCTAAATACTATATTTGATTAATTTACTGATTTACTCGGTTTCATTCGGTCATGTGCGGACCTTTTATACGTTTCTTTAATATGTACCTTTAATAAGTAGTAAAACATTTGAGTCGTGTAAAACGTTCAATGGTAGTAGTGAAAATGAGTATCTTAAAACATATATTTATATTAATCCTCTTCCGAGGAAGATTTTTTTTTAAATTAAGTAATTTTTACGTTTATAGTAATTTATTTAGTTCTAATAATAATTGTCGAGTATTGGTATTTTCGCTATTTAATTGTTGAAATTCGATAATTATTAATTTTAACGATAATTAATATTCGACGTCAGCTGTTTATACTACGCATTATGGTCGTATCAATCTTACTTAGAGAACAGCTTTAGTTTACCAAGCGTGTGTTTGTATAATAATAATTATTAGTCGATAAGGAGATTATGGTCGGTCGGCCGTTCGGTTACGAATTTGAGCGGTTAATTTTGTTTTAAACAATTCGATGCCCTTAAACGCTTCACTATGTATATTATTGTGTAAACTGTAAAACGTTTTTTTTTCTACTTGAATACAATTCATTTAAAATTATTTGTGATCTTTTTTTGGGGGGGATGATGTAAGATAAATAATGCGGTCCCGCCGTTCTGAATTATTATGACGGGTAGAAAATAACGTTTTCATTTTCGTACCGGGTATTTTTCATCAAAATAAATGCATTCTTTTTTAACGACGACCATGACTGAGTTGAGGTAATTTTCTGCAGACATCAGTTTTAAGACCGTATAACGTTCTACTGTATAACGATGCTTAATTCTTAGACTAAAAATGTGTAATTTCAACGATGTTAACCGCGAACCAAACAGCTGATGCCGTTATTTCGACCAAGTTCAACTGTTAGGCCACGTTGAAAAAATAGAACAGAGTAAGTGGAATTTTAGTGGGTTAAAAAAAACACACATTTCTTCGTAACCAATAAACTTCATACCTTCGCGTGCTTTTGTGTAACTGCGTAACACGCTTTTATATATTGTAAGTCTGCGACTCCTTTTTGAATTTTCTCATAATACTCGCGTTTGATTTATGATGATAAAACTTACATGAGTGTTTCTTTTGGACACCTTTTGGCGCGTTATGCAGCCAACGTCGCTGCGTGGAATGCTTCTTTCTATAAAAGGTCGCCTGTGCATGCAATTTGCACCGTTCAAAAGCTCTTTGTTTTTATATTTAATTCTTGATCATATTTCTCACCCATACCTAAGCTTACATCTAAGCTCTAAGACACACTATTTTGGACAAATGGTAAAAATCATACTGCCTTGCTTTTTGACGCTGATATTTTAGGTCTTGTTTGCACTCTCTCACACACACACACACTTTCCCAAACATAATTGCACGTCCATTTGACGGGTTTCACTTTCATTTGGCTTTTTATTGGATTTTTACCGTTTCGACAGTTTTTCATCAGACGAAAAGTCTATATACAAAGAGACAAACATCCGAAAAAACAGATATATATATATCTGAATAACAATATTATGTTTGGTGTACAAAAATAAGTTCATTGGTCGATATCCACTACCCGCTTTCGATCGGTCAAAGTGTATCTTGGATGCGGCGCAGGCCTAAAATAATAATAATATATGTTTACTATAATATGGTATTGCATACACATCATTAGTATAATAAATTGCGGTTGGTATTTGATTAATAACACCCTCGAACGGTATGAATGGAACTTTCAGTGTGTTTTTGTAACGTGTTAGTAATAATATTTTACAATACTCTTTTTTTTTTTTACCTGATTTTTGTGTTTGA